CGTCTTTATATAGATTGATGGAATGACACATCTTTATATAGAGGAAAAGTTACTGGCGTGTGACGGAATTAATATTCTTTACAATGGGTCTTTTAAATGAATTTGCAATTTAATCTTATATTTTATTATTTAAAAATATTTTAATCACCATTTGATGTAAGCTCATAAATGATAAAATCTCATTTTGCATAGATTTTGCAATTCAATTAAATTAGCTAAGCCCTTTTAAGAAACCGTGTGCTAAATTGTTGTTAAAAAACAAACATTTTAAAGTTGTAAAAGATTGAAATTGGCTATTTAAACTCACTTTGTTTTTTTATAAAAGATGAACACCTTTTACTGTTGATTACCTTTTTATTTTAGTAGCATTGAATATATCATGCTGAAAGAATCATTATGCATACATTCAAGGCCAGCGCGGCCTTGAATGTATGTATAATAAAAAAAAAGAGAAGTATTTGGTCATGGAAATATTTGGGTATGCCTTGGCCATGAAACTCTTAATTTTGGTCTAGTAACTTTGGTCTAAATACTTGACCTTGATCTAGTAACTTTTGGCCTTGGTCTAGGCTTGCTAGTTTTGGCCTTGTTAACAACTCTGGTTTGCGTACATAATAATTTCTAGATAAATTTTTAAAATTAATATTTTATTAAAGGAAATTTATGTTTTTTAAATAATATCTAAGCAAATTATTGTAAATTAATTCTTTTATTAAATAAACAAGGTTTCGTATGGGATGTGTTGTTAGACTACAAGTAACATAATGATTATGTTATATCAACATTGCTTACAAGTCTATTTATCTCAAATGTATTTATTTACATCAAACATTATCCATTAGATTAGTTTATTGTTTAAATTAAATTTTTTTAACCACGTTAAACTGGTTAAAAAAACTTAAAACCTAATTTATGGAAACAACGACAACTAAAAATGATAGATTTTGATTGCAAAAAACGGATAGAAATGTAGGTTTGATAAAAAAGGAAATATATAAAATATATGTATATTATTGTGTAGTTTATTTGAACAAATTTGCCTTATTTTATTATCTTTTTGTTGTCATAATCATAAAATTTAAAAAAAATATAATTTGAGTGTTAGTTAACACATTTATCTTTTATATTCTTATAGTTTAATAGGAATAATATAAAGATAAAATGTTTATTAATATAATGGTATCAATTTTTTGACTGCAACAACTTTGCATAACACAACAACATTTTTATACTATATCTATAATGATTATAAATATAGTATTAAAATGTTATTGTGTTATGCAAAGCTGTTGAGGTCAAAAAATTGATACCTAAGTATTATTAACATATGAGGCGCACAAGATATTAAAGTTCTATACATAATACGGACATATAAGTGTTTACATCAAAAAAATTTGAAAAATTCGTTGTTGACTTTATTTTTTCTAGGAGTTTAATCATTACTTAATAATTTTTAAAATATGTTTGCTAATTTATTAACATCGTCGCGGAGATTTTGCGGAAACAAGACGTGTTTTTTATTAGCGATAAAAATTTACATAAAAATGGATATTTCAATAAAAAGCATCGAAAAAATCACAAAAAAACTCGAGGAACACAAAAAAAGTATTCTTAAAGAAACTGAACGACTACTTAAAGAGCAAGAAAAATCATTTACTTTAATAATGAGTGCAAACCTCAAAATTAAAACTGATAGACTAGACACAATAGAGAAAGACAACAAAAACAACAAGTCGAAAATAAAGAATATCAAAAAAGACCTGAACGAAATAAAGAACAGCCTCAGTTTTCAATAGAATAAAATTTTAGAAAACATTTCACTCTTAAAAAAATATTATGACAATCAAATAAATACATCATATAAAAAGTCAATAGACTTGGAAAGTCGTTCCAGAAGAAATAATCTAAGAATAGATAGACTAAAAGAGTCTCCAGGAGAATGCTGGAATGATTGTGAAAAAGAGGTAAGAAAATTCTTTAATAATCAATTAAAAATATCAAATGAAGTCCAAATAGAAAAAGCACATCGCATCGGTCAAAAGAAAGATAATAAACCAAAAACAATAGTTTTAAAACTCATGAACTTCCACGACAAAAAGCAAAATACTCAACTCATTAACACATCTTAAAGGAACTGGCATTTACATAAACGAAGATTTTGCCCAAGAAACTATCGAACATCGAAGGAAGCTTTGGGAAGAAGTGAAAAAATTACGTAGTGAAGGTAAATACGCCATTTTAAAGTGTGATAAAATTTTAGTCGAGATTTTAAAAATTCGCGTTTTACGCAAATCGAATTCTTTTTTAAAAAAAATTTTGATTTATTTCTTTTTTTGTCATGGCTAATGATTTTCTAACAAAAGATTTTGATAAGTTGCGTTTTGACTTTTTTAAAACTAAAAATAATATCTTTGCAAATGATTTAAACGACAATGATTTATTGATTTTTAATGGACCTGTCTCTCCATACTTTCATACTAAAACTTTTAAAGCTGAACTTCATAACAAGACGAGTTTACGGTAATACACATAAACATCAGGAGCTTAAATACAAGTATCGATAAGTTAAAACTTTTAAAGCTGAACTTCATAACAATATAGACGAGTTTACGGTAATACACATAAACATCAGGAGCTTAAATACAAGTATCGATAAGTTAAAACTTTTAAAGCTGAACTTCATAACAATATAGACGAGTTCACGGTAATACACATAAACATAAGGAGCTTAAATACAAGTATCGATAAGTTAAAACTTTTAAAGCTGAACTTCATAACAATATAGACGAGTTTACGGTAATACACATAAACATCAGGAGCTTAAATACAAGTATCGATAAGTTAAAACTTTTAAAGCTGAACTTCATAACAATATAGACGAGTTTACGGTAATACACATAAACATCAGGAGCTTAAATACAAGTATCGATAAGTTAAAACTTTTAAAGCTGAACTTTATAACAATATAGACGAGTTTACGGTAATACACATAAACATCAGGAGCTTAAATACAAGTATCGATAAGTTAAAACTTTTAAAGCTGAACTTCATAACGATATAGACGAGTTTACGGTAATACACATAAACACCAGGAACTTAAATACAAGTATCGATAAGTTAAAACTTTTAAAGCTGAACTTCATAACAATATAGACGAGTTTACGGTAATACACATAAACATCAGGAGCTATGTATCGATACTTGTATAAATACAAGTATCGATAAGTTAAAAATTTTCCTTATCGAATGCAAATATTACTTTAGCATGATTTGTCTTACAGAAACTTGGTGTTCGGACGAAAATTCTTATACAAAATCAAACCTCCTAACCCCTAATTATAATATTATTTCTTATGAAAGAAAAGCTAACAAAAGAGAAGGTGGAATAATAACCTAGATCCATAATGACTTAAACACAAAAATTAGAAATGATCTTTCTATTTCTAAATCAAATAGTGAGGCCTTTACAGTTGAAGTCATTATTGATACTACAAAAAATGTCTTAATATCCTCTTGTTATAGACCGCCCGATGGAGATATTATAATGTTTTTAAATTTTATGAAACAAATATATACAAAAAGCAATTTTGAACATAAAAAGCTATTCTGTATTGGTGACATGAACATAAATTACTTAAGCTATCATGAACAGGCTAATACCAAAATTTTTTTCGATGATATAATACAACATCACATTTTCCCAATTATAAACAAACTCAGCCGGGTAACTCCCACCTCAATTACAGCTATCGACAATATACTGAAAAATTCAATTCAAGATCCATCCTTAAAAGTAGGAATAATTAAAACGGATATGTCTGACCACTTCCCAATTTACTTCTCACTACCACACCAAGCAACACGTGTCAATAACTTGAAAATAAAAATCATCAAAAGATGCATAAATAAATTTTCGACCCTAAAACTAAAAGAATCACTAGCGGTAGTAAATTGGTCCAAAATATACCATGAATGTAACCTCGGACATGACAGGTACATGAATGTAACCTTGGACGCACAAATTCCGCTTACAATAAGTTTATAAATATTTTCCTAAATCTCTACAATAAACATTTTCATGGAGTTTCAACGGAGTGGAAACTCGCCTTTATTTGTACGGCTAATATATAAACAAAAAAAAAAAAAATTTATAAATAAAATAAATAAATATAAATAAACCAACAAAATTGTGATACACATTATTACTATATAGTCTAACAAAAGTAGATTTCAGTCTTTAACAGCTTTTCACAGTTTTTATTTATCGTAGAGTGTTTAAAATATATATTTAAGCTTTTCCCTTTCACAACGTCTGACTATAAATGGTTTTATTTGACGACTATTCTATTTATGGAAAAGTTATCTTGACGGTTTAATTTTTTTGATTGTCATTTATTGTTAGCTTTTGTAATAGAATTTTCTATAAATGTTGAAGCATTATACCAATTTATTATATCCAAGTCATTAACAAACCTATTTAGTTTTATCGCATCACCTTTTGATCTTCTTACTGCATCACCTTTTGATTTTTAATGTGGAGAGAAAGGTTTATCAGAAACGAGCGTTTGTGGAAAAGGCTTTATACCATTTATATTCATCCGTATCTAGAATTTGTTGTGCATGCATAGAGACCATATCTAGACGGAGATATCTTTAAAATTAAACAAGTTCAACAAAGAGTTACAAAAGTTGCACATTGTATGTAAAATATTTCGTATAAAGAACAAATGAAAAGACTTAATCTAACAACGCTGGAAATAAGAAGAAATCGCAAAGATATGATCCAAATGTTTAAACTAGAAAATTATTTAGAAGTAGTAGAGTGGAACACACCTTTATCATTAAATAATAGTAGAAATTTTGTGCGAGAGATTGTCAAAAATTCAGACATTCGATTGTTCCACTCCTTAATAATTGTTAAGGAGTGGAAAAATTTTCCGAATGACATTAAAAAATCAAAGGCACTCTATGAATTTAAGGTTTTACTTGACTGGCTAAGC